CATAGTCATCTAAACTGGCTTCAGCCATTTACCCACCCAGCTTATCATGTACACTGTACAATACATTGTTCTTTCCTGCGAAAATCATTTATTCATTACCAACATTTTTTCATAAATGAGACACTTGTGTAAATAAAGTATTTTTCATTTTCATTCATTTCATTAAAAGTGTTACATATAACACTTAGTGCTAACGTCAGTGCCACATTTGGAGTTAAACAGTGAATACTAGCTGCAATGCGAAAGTGACCCCAACTACTGTTCTCCTAGGTTGTAGTTCTCTTGCAGGCTGCGTCAGGTCACCATCCAGGATTTCCTTATACTGCACAACATTCCTTTTACCCTCCACCTTTACGAGTCTTCCAGGGCCTGCTGCATCGAAGCGTCCTTACATCATGATGCTGCCACCACCATGCTTCATAGTGGGAATGGTGCGGCTGTAATGATGTGCAGTGTCAAGTCTTGTCTGATGCCCCCCAAAAAAACTAAATTTGATCTCTTCAGACAAAAAAACATTCTTCTAATTGACTTCAGAATCTCTCTTTGCCACTCCTGCATACAGCTTTGACCCAGCCAACAGCTGTTATACGCACAGTGTCTCCCATTTCAGCTGCTGAAGCTTGTAACTCCTTCAGAGGAGTCATTTGTGTCTTGGTGGCCTCCCTCACTCATCTGTCAGTTTTTGAGGATGACCTGCTCTAGGCAGATTCACATATGTGCCATATTTCTTTCATTTTCAATGACAGATTTAAGTGGATTCCAAGAAATATTCTGTGACTTTTCTTGTATCAGTCTCCTGAAGTATCCTTTCCATTACCTGATCAATAACACAGAGTGGCTTGACATGCTCTGTTGTCTACATGGTGTAACTATAAACAGGAGTACTGTGACTGGACCTTACAGATACAGGACACTTTATATTACAATCCCTGAGACACATTCAGTGATCTTAGTGAGCTCAATTTCACTAACTGTGGTACTTGTGGCACAGACTGGCTGCACCTGTCAGTCATTTTACATTATATATTTTTATTAATTAACATTACTGTGTCCACTTTGATATGAAAGAGTGTTACTTTGCGATTGTCTGCCAAAAAAAGTCGAATTATATTGAGCATGATTCGATGATGAAAAATAATAAAAAGGGAAAACTTCTAAGAGGGATGTTTATTTTCATAGGCACTGTACATCTGGTGAGTCAGACTAGCACTGCACCACTTTACCAGCATATGAAACCCTCACTCCACAGAAATGACAAAACGGCAGAATGTCCTGAGTGTTCATTGCTCTCATCTCATTTCAGAGCCTGTAATATTAGGAACTTTTTTCACATGCTTTAGGAGGTTAAAGGAAAAATCTCCAGGGAATGAAAAATGATGGAACACATAGGCGAAAGAAGAAATAGTCCATCATTACTACAGTTGGGAAACAACCAGTGTTCTTAGGAAAAGTTAAAATGGAAATCTACAATATGTGATAGCAGCTCAAATGACTACAAATTTCCACTCTTACAAAAAACACCATGATGTTCTCATGGAATTTAGCAACATCCGTGAAATCATATTTAGCCTCGTGATTTATATTGTTTAAACCATTAGTCACACAACGCATTCGTTTGTGCATGTAGGATTTATTAATGACCGAAAAATGTATTCTAATAATTCTTCTTGGGTGCAAAGAACCAAATGTTTGTTTTAGATATGGAGGTAACTAGGTGGATTTCCTAAACTGTCATCTTCCTCTGTGACCGGTTTCACAGGCTTGAGGCTTCAAATGAATCTTACGCTCAACTTAATGCCACCTGACCAGCTTCAACTTGTTTCTAAAGCCAAATTAAATACCATAACAATGAATGTTAAACTGTAGCCAAAGTGCTGTTGTTCAAGAAGTAGACAGTCATTTTTGTTGTAACACACATGCATGTTTATTGCACATCAAATCAGGGGCCCTAAGTTAACAAAAGTGTGATGTCAGTACGAGGTCTGGACATTTAAAATAGGAAACAAGCTAAATTAAAAACATGCAACACACACACACACACACACACACACAGGGGCACGCACGCGCACATGCACACACACACACGTACACAAACACACACGCACACACATAGAGTGAATAGGGTATTTTATCCAATCAGAGCAGACTAGGTTCTACAATGTACATGTTGTGTGAAGAAAGTATTCAGTAGTTTGACTAAATAATCTTCACCCAAACTGTATTTCTGGAGCATTCAACTGCATTTTACGATCTACCGAAGTACATACATAAGTAGATGGAGCTCGCTCAGATGTTATCCACGTTTCTAAAAATGTTTTTTACACGCAAAAACAAAAACAGCACTAACAGCAAATTGATCATTTTGTTGTCATAACAGCCTTATTAGTATCAGATCCAAAACATACATTTATTCCTGAGGGTACTGGTCTAATACAGACAGTTACATTTCCTTATTTACCAGGGGGTATTTTGGGCTGATAGTGGAGCTACAGGAAAGATCAGGGCGTGACAGAAACATTCAGCATAACCTGAAACCAGGAATGTCCCTGTCTGTTGTCATGACAGATACACTAAGCTACTGCAAAGTCTGCGTTCTATTATTAGCATGTTAGGCTGTGGAGTCACATGGGGAATCCCCTTACAACATTACACACAGATATGACTCACACCTATTGCACTATCACTGGTGAGTAGACAACCCAAATGCCACTTTACATCATCTTTTTTAAGTCACAAACAAACATCTAGAGTCTTACAACACTTCACTTTATTCGAAGTTTATGAGTCATTTAATTGATTGAATTACAGTAACCTCTTATTTGTTAGTTGCCACATGTATTGCCTGCCAAGATATTTACTCCAGCGGAAACAGTACTGGATTCACTTGCCGTTGGTGGAAGCTCCAACCTTATCGCATTATTTTGGCCCGATAACGCCGCTTATCTGACGTTGCCCGACATGCTCTCTGAGGTAATAGCAGTGTTGCCAGATAAGCCAGTTTTCTGTACCCCGAGGATACTTGCCATCTGCAGAGGGTTTAGCTATTTATCAGAGATGTTTGAACTGTAAGGACGACATTAAAGATACAATGTCCACTGAAAATTTCACACGATACAATTAACTATACCCACATGGGTAATTCCATATAAAATAATTATAATCTGGCTGAAAAAAGCTCCTACGTGAGCCCCTCAGAATCAGCAGATTTTTAATGTACAATATTCTTAGTATATTTAATGGAATCATGCAAAATCTTACTTTCACACAATGAATACTTTCACAACTACATGATCATAGGGGTGGGTGAAAGACTTGTGCTAAAATATGACTAGATTAGAAAATTGTTTTGACCCAGAAGGAATTATGACTACAAGATAAGCCTGGTATCAAAATGTAGGAAAATGACTATGACCAGTAACATATTCCAAATGGTGATATGGCCCTTGAATTTTTTTTTTTTTAGCCAAAATGTTTTCTGCAGTGAATCATCAGAAAACACATCCAGTCTGTCAATGCTCATTTTTGTGACTCATCATGCCAATCATGCCAAACAAAATGAGAATTTGGCTTTAGATTGTGACACCTTGAGTGGATGTAAAATTGATTTTGTTGCAGCCCAAATGTGTTTTTCATCCCTGAAAATGTCGTGTGTATGTCTCCTGTACTTATGAAGTTATTACGCTCAACAATGCTGGAAACAGTAGTAGAAATTAAAATATGCAAAATGTTGAAAATGTTAATTCTGAGGGGGTCAGGGGGAGACTTTGATTGATTTTTAATTAAATGACCCACTTAGACTTTGGAGGGTTGCAAGAAGTACAATGTTTAGAAGTTTAGTTTCTTTCCTATCGCAGCATTATACTTTCTGTTTCTTAGTAAAGTTCATGTTAAGACCATTTAAAGATATTTAAATTGAAAATACATTAAATAAGATGGACCAAAACATAACATCTACCAGATAAAAAGTAAAATTGTGCCGCTTCAATGAGTACTAAATGGGTTCTACTCTCGATTTTTCCAAGCAAATGTGGCAACACTGGTGAAGAGATGTCTGTTTGTGGCAGGCCGTGTGTGGTTAGTGTGTGCTAAACTGAGTGCTTCCAACAAGGAGTGAGATTAAAACATGTCTGCAAGACTTGTCCAGAGAGTTACCACCCCATTCTGTTTCAAATCATTTTAAATCTCTCTACCTGTTCATTGACAAGATGTTACACAAAGTGGAACATGACAAGACTTGAGGCCTCTGTCTGCACTGTGTTTTAAATAATAGTCAGATTAAATGATGATGATGATGATGATTATTATTATTTTTAACCAGCTACAGCACCAGACTGACTACAAGCTGTGCCACGAAAACTTGCAGAGGAGATTTATTTTAGAGCGACGATGTTCTTGAACAAAACCAAGCAAGATCATGTAGTTCTACAGGAACACATATTGTTTGTAGTAACCATTTCACAATCTAATAGCCCGTTACAACTACTGCGACTACAGTGGCAAATTGCAGAAGTTGCCAGTCAAGTTCTGCATTTATGATATTGAAACAGAAACGTGTCCCAGTCTGTATGACTCAGCTTCAGAGCACAGCAGCGGTGAGGAAAGTGGTAAACAATCATCTAGGTTAGCCAAACTTCTTTGGAAGAGAGAACGAAGTCTACCCATCCCCTTAGCACTTCTTTGATCTCCCTACTTTTTGATCTTTGTCAACCCACACAGCTTAGCCCACAGTCAATCTCACTTCAAAACAGAGAGTCCTGGCATTGTCTCTGGGTTTGTTGTTCCAGTAATGCTGATTAATCCAAGCTCTCAGTGGGAGATTCTTTCATTTGTCCCTGGATTTTATGACTCAAAGTCTTAGATAAATGAACATCTATTAAAACACTTGCCATCAGTAACTTTTGTTTGACTAATTTTCTAGCAGACAGCTCTTTATTCAGCATCCAACTCAATCAAAACTTGAGGTACGTTCCAATATTTTTACCGCCATCCCATATAGCATGACAGAAAAAGATTTAGTATGCCCCAATAGATAGTATCTCAGATGCAGTATGCCAAAAATACTAGGATGTCCTACAACGACTGGTACATTGGTGCACAAGTGTAAAGAAGCTTGAGCTGATGAGAACGCAGAAACAGATGACAGCCCAATTTTTCACAACAGACTGCGACAGTCAAAGGTTAAGGTGCCTTATTATGAAGACGTAGCATGTCGCAATTGTATGTGTAGTACTTAAAACAGTGAGCATAAAAGGTAAAAAGTGATGTACAACACCGCCTTGGTTTGGTCCATGTGTCTATATTTCACACTCAGAGTCTGGTGGCTAGAATCAGCTGTTTTGCAGCTTTAATGCTGGAACCCTTGAGCTTTAATCCAAATAACTTCTGTCTGTGTTAATTAATTGATGGAGTCCTTCAGTTCCTATTTCACTTTGATTCTCTCTAAACTAGTCTGAAAATTTTTTGCTAAACTGTGTTTCTTGCACCATCAAACTTTGTTATAGTCGTGTCAGTGTGTTCCCACATCTCAGCAGTCACTTTGCAGAGAACAACATTATCGTAACTGATGCAAATGATGACCTAAACTACATAATTAAGACCCATGTTGTAATTACAAACTGAAATAATCTAATACTGGGTTACGCAAGGCCTTGGTATCAGAATGCTTGTGTATGTATCAATGTAAGACTGAAAGGAGCTGTTACAGTTGTCACACAAAAGCAGCCAAACTGCTATATCAGCAAACTGAGGGAGTGTGTAACTATGAGACACAGTACAGTGCTGCCCACTTAATGTCATACCACTTTATAGAATATCCCCTTTCTAATCATAAAATATTGAAGTCCTGAATCATTTCCTATATGACCAACAGTAAAACAGCCCGTTTACTGTTATAGAAAAATGTCATAATCTTGGTTTTGCCATAATGAAATTCCCCGAAATTGACTCCAGGAATAACTTTTCCCCGTTTAAAGTCATGGTCGGCCGATTGTTACGGCTCACGGGCTGAGCGTCAGTCATGCCTGACGGATTATCACACCTCGGTCAGCCGCAGAAGGCAATGTGTTTGTTTGTTGGTCAAAAACCTGGTTACCTGCTTCACAGAGTGATTCACACACTGACTGTCTGACATTATTTAGGGCACATCACAGAGAATCGCATTGTTGCAGAGCATGTCATCATGATTAACTAAACAGCTCACTTAGTTAATCGTGATAAGTTAATCCTCTGTAGACCCTCTGATTAAAGGAAATAACTTATATTGATGGGGTGGCTTTTCATACTGACAAAGGTGGAATTTCACTGAAGCAAAACCATAAAGCTCAGTTTGAATAAACATTTCTTGATCTCCAAAGAAACTGTCCCTTTGATTTTGTGGAAACATTTCCAGTTTGGCATTATGTATAAACCTCTGTTTTTTTAGCACAAACACAATTTTCCCAGTGCTCTATCATTGCAGACACTTCGATACGCAAAGCTGGATTCATCATAAGCCCCCTTATTGGAATATCCCGGACATAGTCTGAACTCCATCTTGGGCCGAGGGTATGACAATAAATGGGCAGCACTGTACTAGAATAAGAGGAAGCCTGTAACAACATGTCATATCTCAAGTGTTAGCTGTAATTTCCTCCCATTACTCATCAGTGTTTATAGAAATGTTCCCAACAGGCAGTTTTGCATAAGTGTTTCACATAGCATCAAATCAGAATACAGAACATTAGCCACAGGTTGTGCCTATTGTGTATGAGCATACATTCGAGCTACAGAGGCAACCGTCACATTGGTTTCTTAAAAACATGATTAAATGGTAATGCTTACAAAACCCACAATGCTTTTTAAAAAGAAAAACTGTTGTTTCACAGTTGTTTAAAAAATATGCAGTCTGTTGAATGATAAAAAGAGAAATCATTTCCAAGGTTGAGCCTCAGTTTCTAAATCCCAGGAAGTGTTGGCGCACTGCCAACCCATAAAGCTGTCAAATGCAGACAAACTGTGGGTTCATCCAGGTGATCAGGAGAGTCTTTGAGGCTGATAAATACCTGTACAGTATGGCTGAACTGCTTTTCAATATTATATGAATATTCAAGATTATTTGTCATTTCCAAAAATCATTATGGTAGTTCTGTGACCTGAACATATGCTGACACATGAGGGGCACAAACTGAGGCTAATGGTAAGTGTACTAAATGCACACATGTGACAGTAGATAGAGGTTTGTTTTTGCAAGTGTGTGTGTGTTGCTGGGTCCATTAGCTCAGCAGTTCAAGGTAGGTGACGGGTACTTTGCCCTTTTCATTCCCTCGTTCTCCAATCAACCAATCAGGGTCCATTCCAGGTACAGTGTATACAGTAATGAGCTGGAGAGAAAAACAAAAACAAGGAGGATTTTTTTTAAAGACAAATTGACAAAAAAAAAAAAAAAAAAATCATTATGTGGTGAGATTGACATCATAACACTTCTGCTCAGGTTCAGGATCAAGAAGCTTTACTGTCATTCTAAACATTGTACATATAAAGGAACTAAGTTGAAATCACTCAGGTTCAAGTGCAAAAGAATAGCCCCAGTTAATCCTAGTTTGACATTTTCCTGTCCTTGTAATCTCTGTCTCATTCTCTGCTTCAGTGTTTGTCTCCACTCCCTACAATTAGTGCCATTGTCTCATCTCTGAATGTGTGGCGCTTAGACCAGCCAAAGAGCTGAAGGAAATGAAGCAAAGCATAAACATCAGAAGGCTGATGACAGCATTCCACAATCATTTCCTTACAACACTTATGTGTTTCTTTCCTCCTGCCCTCCCTCGTATTATTTGAAATGTATTTAAATAAACAAGAAGTTCTTTTGAATTCTGCCTGTAAAAAACAGGGTGGTAGCAACCATCCTTCACTGAAATGAGTGATGTCTAAACTTTGTCGTATACGTTCACACAAGGGCTGCAAGATGGCTCGGTGGTTAGCACCGTCACCTCACAGCTAGAAGGTCGCCGGTTCGCGTCCTGGTAAGGACACCTGGGATCTTTCTGCATGGAGTTTGCATGTTCTCCCTGTGCAGCGTGGGTTCTCTCCGGGTTCTCCAGCTTCCTCCCACACAGTCCGAAAACATGTTGAGGTTAATTGGTGATTCTAAATTGTCCGTAGGTGTGAATGTGAGCGTGCTTGGTTGTCTGTCTCTGAGTGTAGCCCTGTGATAGACTGGTGACCTGTCCAGGGTGTCCCCTGCCTTCACCCTGAGTCAGCTGGGATAGACTTCAGTGGATGGATGGACGTTCACACAGCAGGCTGCCTTTGTTGCACAGATTTAGATGGGTTCATATTGGAACTTTTTAAGCCTTTTTGATGGATCTATTGGCTAGAAAATTAGCTCATTCTTGGCAATTCTTAGGAATTGAACTTATGACACAGCTTTCTGTTGGATTGTCTTACATTGCAGAGACACTCCTAACAGACTGTTTTGTAAGTGTCCAATTTGAACAGTTTTTCGTGTCCAAAAATGGACTGTAGACACGCACTCAGACCACAGGTATTACTTTCTGGAGACTGCATGCTGAGAACAATAATCATAGTACCATGGCAAATTAAGCCCTGAAAAACAAACCGGTGCTTTCCTTGTGGCACAAAAGATTTGCAATTGAACGGAAAAAGAAGCCTGATGAATACAGCGAGCCCACTCTTTAGTCTGATGACACCATGACAAATGTGTTTAGCTCAGATGAGGTTCAGCATGTTTGGTGTAAACCTGACCAACCAGGACAATCACAGTGAATGCATGGTATTAACAGTGAAGCACAAAGGGGGGAGCGCGATGATACAGGACTGCACTAGAGGAAAAGGTGTTGGGAGGTTAGCTTTATAGATGATGAATGCCTATAGATATACTAAGTACTGGCTGACAAGATAGCTTTCAGTCTGCAGTAGCTTGGCAGAAGAGGAATATTCCAACATGACAATGATCCAAAGTACATGTAAAATCACACAAGAATTTCTAGAGAAGGAGACAGAGTAAACAATGTGTCTGGCCAAGTAAGTGGCCTGATTCGAATACAAAAGAGCACTTCTGGGACACTTCTACGAGAAAGACAAAAATATACAACCCCTCCAGTAAAGAGCAGCTGAAAACAGACAGTCTGATAGAACATCTTTCCAGCAATGTGTGTAACACCTGTGCCCTCCATGCTGGTAAACATTGATTCTGTCACCAAAAAAAATGGTGGGCATGCAAAGTAAAGGATTGCAATTTCAGTAGTGAAAGATTGTTGCATAGCGTTGCTGCTGTTGGGCCTCTGATTTTAATATATTAACAGTTTTTAAACTTTAAAAAGTTTTCAAGTTTACATCATACAGCAAATACCTACTGTTCAACACAGTAATGCATGTACTGCAAGGTGATACCATTTTGAAGCATTTAACATGTGATATCGCAGTCATGTAGAAAAAAAAAAGTATAGGGGAAAAAAATAAGTTTCTTTAAAAGAATGTCTCCAGATAGAGGTCAGACAAACAACACTTCGCACTGACATTCTGACAATCTGAATCTTTTGGGGGAAAGTAGATTAGGCTCCAATAATTAGCACTCCTCACGTAATGATAGGTAGAACTAGTCTTACTTAAACCTCTGATATATATAGTCTTCTGTTTCTTTTGAAGTGTGTGGTATCATGGTAGTGTTCTAGTTTGAGGTTGCTTTGCTGCCCAAGGGACAAGGCAGCCTGTAGTCAATGATTAAACGGAATTATTCCTCATATCAGGATCTGGGACAGGCGGCCAAAGAAATTTTAAATGGAAGAGTGGTCAAAAACTTCAGCAAGCTGATGCCCAAGACTGCTAGACAATCATGCAAAACACCAACAAGAAGGTATTTCTGCTAAAGTAGGCATTGCTAGCTTCTCCACAGAACAATATCACAATATATCTCCTTCATCTGTAGGCACTGTTTCAAAGAGGATTAAATGTTTGCTCGTTCAGATATGTCATAAAGGCAGACTGTTTCCATTTACTGTGTTGCTTTTCAAACTTTTTCACATGACTGTATGTATATAGTGTATATTTAAATTTAAAAACTGCACCATTCCATTTCCTCACACTTAACCTCCAGAAAGGCATTCCATGATATATGTACATAGAAAAACATTTTTAGATGTCTGTTTGTTAATCTGCCGGCTTGTCTGGATAAGAGGATGTGACTGTCTAAACCCTACTCATTGGTGCTACTGTGAGCAACACTGTTGTATTTTTAATTACAGTTTGGGCTGTTGTTGTGCTGATGTGTGTACAATCATACTGAAGGTGCAGGCTGGTTTGTAATGTATGGATTGGGGCTTTTTGCAATCATCAGTTGCAATGAGGACAAATGAGTTTTGTACTGGATGATGTTCCTGTCATAGAAAAAGTGCTAGATGGTCAGAGTCTCTAACTCTAACTGTGAAGCAACGTGCAACATCCTATTTTGTGTGCAGTCCCATTTAGCAGGTTAGTCTCACGTAGCCAGATCATTCTACAAAAAGAGGGAAAACAGCTCTGGCTTGCTTGTATTTTCTTAACACAATCACCATCGTTGTGGGCAAAGCTATGCAATGCATGCATCAGCAGATTCCCCTAAAAATAGAGGAAATGTTGTGATGGATTTTTTTTAAAAACATATATTTATTCATTTAAATTTTACATCAGATGACAAAACACATGATGTGTCCTTAGTTTGTAAGGACTGTACGAACCAGAGGTCCTTAATCAAATCATAATGCTAAACAAAAAACAAAGGACAAAAACACTTTTTTTTACACTTAAATTTCAATGGTCACATGTAATAATGGACATCAAAAACCTTCCAGCATGATGGCTGATATTCCTGTATCCACATATTTCAGATAAGGTTCCCAAATCTTACAAAACTGGTCAGTTTTTGAATGTTAAGAACATGTAAAATATTCTGGTGACATTAAGTCAATAAGCACTCTGCCAGCCCTCAGCTGTTACTTTGCATTGATCCACTGCTATAAAATGTTCCCTTCTAGCTGTTTGGAATAACACTTTCTCAACTTGAGATATTTCAAAATTGTCCATTAAAGTTGTGCAGTGTAATATAAAATGCCTTGTCTTTAAATAAAGAAAGATGTCTGGTCTCAGAACACCATTTTGCTAAATCAGTGGTTTAAATGCCATCACTGTATCATCAGAAATTAAGTCCCTCAATCTGCTAACACCACTATTGCCCCATTGCCTAAAACCGGCATCTAACTGGAAATCATGTTTGTTCACAACTGGGGTGAAAACAAAAGTCAGCTCTGACCCTCCCTCTAGTCGGCAGGTTGGGCAAAACTCAATCTAATAGTTTCATTTTCCCTAAAAATTGGATGGATACTTTGAGAGGGTTGATTCAATACTGAGCCAAACACAATTTGTGCTATTCGTTATCCAGTCATAAATATATATCTCATGTGGGGACAAAATTTGCATATTTGAATGTTTTGTAAATCAAGACCTCTCACAGAACCTGGTAGCTACAATATAACTATCCTAAACTGTGGTTCATATTTGAAAAATTAATTTGCAAAAACAGATAACTAAGTTTTTGTAGATTAAGTAAGTAGAGTAACATAAATATTTTTTGGATAATAACCAAGATAATTGATTGGTCTTGACAAGGGATATTCATCCCAGCCAGGAGAAAGTTAGCAAATTCCATCTCTCCAGATCTTGTCTTACTTTTTCCAGTGAGTCAAAATGTGCTTTACACATTTGTGTAAATTTACGACTTACAAAACCTGTTGGGGACCACTTAAAATGGAAGGAAAAGGCCTTGTTTTGAAGGAACATTGACATGCAGGGAGACAAGCACTGTCATTAAAATGGCTATTTTATTAAACAATTCTGTTAGGGCTGCACTATCCAAATACTCTGCAAAACTTTACATTTTCAGTATTACTCAGAGGTTGTCATTGTTTGCCACAGTGAAGTGGATTTTGAAAAAGATAACATGTATATAGTAGAAAGGGAGAATAAAGCTCATGAAACATGCGGCCAATGGCATGCTTAGAAAAGGAATCTACATCTGGTGGGTAAGACTGATCACTTGTAGGTTCGGCTACCTGGTTTGTGCAACCTGAACAAGACAAGGAATTTGGAGTAATTTGCTGTGTGCATCTGCAGCAAGACTTGTACATTGATGATCAGATACATGACTTGACCAGGGATGTACACTCTGTCTGTACAAACCAGAGGTCCTTAAACCCACAACACACTTTGCCCGTGCTATGAATGTATGAGTTGGAACTCCGATTCTGCAACATCGAGATCACATTTTCAACCGAAAATTAATGAACGGGAAGGCAAGACCCAGCATGCTAGAATTATTCACTGTTCCAAC